GTTTTGAGATAGTTTCATTTAAAAAGTTAACTCTTTTAATTCTAATATAATTATGAACGAATAGAGACATCACGTAAAATAATTGACTCATTTTATAGAAGAAGACTAAAAAATAAATATTTTACTCATAGAAAGGAGTAATTAATATTAAAGGAAAATAAATTTAAATAAATGAATGCTTAAAAATAGTCTGTAACATTTAACACATATTTAATTTAAAATTTAAATAATTTCAGAAACTATGGCTGATTTATTTTTTGATACAAATAAATGAATAGCTAGTAATAAATAAATAAAAAATAACTTTTTATAAGAAACTTCAATCCACAATCAAATGCTAAAAAATAGGAAGTAAAAAATTTTAATTTTTTAATAAATAAATAAATAATTAATTAAAATATTTATATTAATTAGTTAATCAAATTAAAATTTTTTTACTCAACAATTATTATTGTTTTAACTATTTTATTTTAAAATAGCATGTAAAATATTTGAGACAGTGCATTCATCATATGATTTTACAACACAACTTTAAAATTAATAATCTAAATAGGGAGTATATAATTAAAACTTATAAATTTATGAATTGATTAAATTACTGAATAAGCAAAAATAAATAAATAAATTAATAAAAATAGAATGTACCATAAATATTCTCAATTATTTTGCTTATCAAAGTTCAAAAATCTTTAAATCAAAATAGAAAGTAAATTTATTTTAGATTATTTAGTTTTTATTTATTATTATTTTACTATTTTTTCTAAAATAGTAAGTATTTTTATCATTAAATTCGATCATAACTTCTTAAAATTTATTTAATCTATCTATTTTACTGTCCATAATATTTAATTATTATTTATGATGAAAATATTCTTATTAATCTTTTATTAAAATAGATGGAAGTAAATGCTTAAAATTACATAAATTTGTTTTTATTTAATCGACTTTAATAATTTAAATACAAGGTAAAACTTTTATTTTCTAATGCTTAAATTAAAAAAATAATTTAAACTCAAAAGTGGAACGTAACTAACATAAATTTGGCATTGACTGTGACTCATTGATAAATAAATTTAAAATAGAGAAATGTAATAAAGTAGTTTGTTAGTTAGAACAAGAATATTGAAATAATTTAATTTTAAATTAGAATGTAAACATTTATTTGCTAACAGAAATAAATATGTTTATGATGAATAACTTTCATATTAAATAGCGGGTAATATTTTTCTTTTATCTAATAATTTGGTTGTTAATTAATTAATCTATTTTTATTTTTAAACAGAATGTAATATTTAAAATAGCTTGCTAATGCTTATTTAGGTCTTCATAGTTTATTTAACTTTATCAAAAAATAAAATAAATAAATAGAGCGTATTCATTTTATATTTATTTTTATGGAAATTAAGTTATTCTTTTAATTTGAAAATAGCTCGTAATATTTTTGAAAGGTGCAACAAGAAATAATTAATTTATCAATTTGCTAAATTCTAAAAATAGATTGTAAAATAAAAATTTTACAAATAATCAACAAAATTTAAAAAATAAATTTGATTCTATAAATAGATTGTAAGCATTCAATTTATTATTATTTATTAAACTTGCTACATAAATGTTTAATTATCAAAAAGGCCGTAATATTAATTAAATGCTTTTTAAGAAGAGCATCTATACATACAATTTTATAATCCTTATAGTGGGTAGTCTTTTAGAATCTATTCAAATATTTAATAATAAGATCAATTAATTAATTATTTTTTTTATACAAAATAGAAAGTAAGTATCTTTTTTTAATCAATTTAGTCTCAAATATTCTTGATTGATTGATTAATTTATTTATTTATTAATAAATTATTAACCTATAAATTAATTTTCTAAATCTTTCTAGGCAGTAAAATTTTGATTGGCTTCTGTGTGAGGCATTTTATTTAAGCTTATTTATTTTCATAAATAGAGTGTAATTTACAAATTAACATTGAAGATTTCAGATTTCAACAACAAAAAATTAACTTTGAATCAAAACAGCTAGTAAGATTTATTTTCAATTTTACATTTCCAAAAAAAAAATTTTCATTTAAATAAAAAAAAGTCCGTAAAATGTTTGAAGAGTCATTCAAAGAAAACTAATCAGTGCTAAAATAAAAAATAGATATAAGTAATATTATTAAATTAGTTTAAATAGAAGATAATAAATCAATATAAAAATAGATTGAAGTATTATTTTATATCAGTTTTATTAAAAAGATTCAGAATAAAATAAAACAAACTAACTAAATTTAATTTTCTAAACAGGCAAGAGTAATTAATATCTTTTAGTTATTTTACATTAAAATAAAATATTAATTATAAATAGTCAAATGTAATATTTTAAAAGATTTAAGATTAATTCAGATACTCATTTAATTGAATTTAATATTCATAAAGGAAGTAAAGCTTATAAATAAATAATTAAATTTTAGATTGTACTAAAATAAATTTAATATAAAAAAGGAAGTAATTATAAAATATTTAAGAGGAATTTACATTAAAATAGCTAAAAATGTATTAAAATTCAATAAGATTGTAAATTAAATTTTGAAGGTATGTTTAAGAAATAATAAATAAATTAATTTTAAATATAGCAAGTAAACAATAAATAAATAATTGATTATTAAATAAGGAAGGATATCAAAACAAATAAACTATTTATTTAAATGTATAGTTGGTAGGAATTTTTTTAAGGATTCACAACTTTGATAACCGATTTGTTAAATATTCTTAATTATTAGCGAGTAACTTTATAAGATATTTATTTAAACTATGATGAATGATTGATTTATGCACAAATAAAAAATATATTAAATAGGATGTAACATTTTTGATAAAATTTGAAGATGAATGAATTCTTATACTATATTGATGATTTATTATAATAGCATGTAAGCTCAGTGAAAATTCGATTCTTATTGGAACTAAAATAAGGATTTTTATTATAAAAATAAAAAATAATTAGCCTGTAAAAATTGCATTTATTAATTAATTAAGAGAGACACAAAAAAAAATAGGCAAATAAATACATTTCCATAAAATAAATAATTAGCTAGTAAAAAAAATTTAAAAAAGCTATTAAATTCAAACTATAATAAAAAAACAGCTGGTAATATTTGAAGATAGGGTCAATCAAATTCACTCATTCATTCAATCTGATAATATAAAAGAGAGTAAGACTATTTATTTATTTTGAAAAATATATTTATTTATTTACAAATTGAATTAAAAAAACCCAAATAAAATTAGAAACAGAAATAATTTTTTTTTTAATTGTAGGTTTTTTTATTTCTTTTTTAAATATAAAAAAATTAAACAAATAAGTAAAATGAAAGTTAAATTTAAAATGCAAAATTAAATTGTTAAACAATAAAAAAAATTTAGTTAGAGAAGCAAACAGACAAAGGATGTGCTCTAAGAATCAACTTAATAACTTTTAGGATGAATCATATGATATGGATCAAATAGAGACACAACTTAATTTATAGCGATATAGAATATAAAAAATGTATAATGTATACAATATGTAATAAATTAATATTCTTAAATATTTGTTTATTTATTTATTTATTTATTTATATATTTTTATATCTTGTAAACTTTATTTAATTAAATATTTTTTTTAAGTACATTCCAACCATTTTCTATATTAAATTTGATTTTATTTAAATTTATCTGCTAATTCAAATAATATTTTAAATTAAAGAAGAAAAAAAATTAATATATTTTAAATTTAGTTTATTATTGAAATGCAGAAAAAAAGTCAGAAAAATTAATAATAAATATTATAAAATTTATTATTTTTTTAATAAAGTTAAATAAAACAATATTTTATTACTTCTTAACTCATCATTATTAATTAAATATTTTATTATTTTTTATCTAAATAAATCAATTATAAAATTAATATTTATTTATTTTAAATCTTTTTAATTTTAAAAAAATTAAATTATCAAATGTTCAATCTTTTATTTATTTTTTAAATATCTAAATGCTGTTAGATTTTAATTGATTTTTACTCTCTTTCTTTAAGAAAATATATACTTAATTTTCAATATTATTGCTATTCTCTGATAATTCTTTCTGTAGTAGGAAATAAATATTTAGTAGAATAATTAATATTATTTTAAAAATTTAAAGAAAATTTAAAATAATACGGTATATAAAAAATCCCAACTCAATGTAGTACCCGTTGAGTTGGGGTTACCATAGATAATATTATCAAAAATGTAATTATTTTCTTTTATAATTTTTTATAAATATGATTTTAAAATTGTTTCAGATATCATAAATTAATTGAACTTATCTATTGATTTTAAGTGCTTTTTATATGTGTAAATTGTCTCTCTTTTTGATTTTAATCTATTAAAAGTATAATAAAATAATTATGATTTATCATGGTAGGCCTACAAAGAAATGTATCAAAATCCTGTTAGAATACTATTTTTTTAATTATATTTTGTTATAAAAATTAATTATTTTAAAAGTCAAGCTTCTTTTTTTATTTTTAATTTTGTTTGTTATTAAACTTTATTTTATACAATTCAAGCAAAATCTTCTTTACAAATAAGTTCAATATATTTATTAATTTTTATGTGCCATTAGTATTTAGGAATAACACTCACATAAGATAAAATATAATCATTTAACAATTTTTATTCTTGAAAATTACTTTTTTTTATTGTAAGCTTAAATAATAAAATAATTGAAAACATATACGATTTATTTTCTCTATCTTTCTCTATTGAAAATTATTCTTCTTATTTCATTTTTTTATTTTTAATGGTTTAAAAATAATTTTTATATTTAAAGAAAATTAAGTTGACAATTTTTATCTAGCAGATTATCGTTTTTTATTATTTATATTTATCAGATAATTTAATTATCTTAACTTTGATTCAATAATTAGGAAGGTTGGTTGATTTAATTAAATTTATACCAACTAAAACAAGCAAAAATATAAAATATTCTATAATTTTTCCAAATTTTTTATTTTTTAAATCAAACATTTATTAAAATTAGCGAAATTCCAAATATTTAAAACTAAATTTTATTATTCAAATTATTCAAAACACTCAGCATTCGACCTAATAAATTCTACTAAATTGTAAATTAGGTTAGCCATAATTTACAATATATACAGTAAAATGAATAATTTTCAAAATTTAGATATTTTAGCAAGATGTTATTTTGTTTCATAAAATGCGGAATTTAATTAATTTACTTAATTTATATAATTTACAAGTTTTTGTTTTTTGCCATTTCTTTAATTTTTAGAGGTTTTTTTATTGAAAGTCTAGCAAATTCCTTTTTTTCTTTTGAAATTTCTCTAAATTTCTTATTTGCAGATAATAAATAATTCATAATTGAATAAAATGCTAACAAATTTATAATAAAAAAGTTTTAAAAGTTAACATAAATTTTTCACACAAAAACTAACTAGTCAAGATTTTCAAAATTTTACATAAACTTTTTTTTAGAAATAATAAAATAGTTGATTGACTAAGTTACTTTTAATAAATATAAATTAGATAGAATTACCTATATAAAATTAAAACCACATTTTACTCTTTGGTGATATTGAATTCCAAGCTCCAAATTTAAATTGTTTTTGATTTAAATTTATACATACCTACCAACCCATTAATTTTTTTATTTTTTTGTTTTTTATTATAGATTATTTTATAAAGATATTTATTTTAGAAAATTGAATAATCTAAATTTTTATTACTTTTCTGTATAGATAGGGATTATTATTCATTATTTTTATAAAAGAGACTACTATTCAAGAGGGGCTTCAAAAGGGATAGACTAATTAGTAAATTTTAATTAATTAAAATTCTTTGATTTTCAATTTTAGTTTATTTAACAAAAACATTTCAAGTTTTAAAAAATAATAATTTACAATCTAAAAAATTATAGATTTATTTTTTAATAATACTGCTATTTAAAAAAAGAAATAAAACTAACTAACTATATTCATTTGGATGCTATATTACTTAAATATATCATTTAAATTAATGTATCATAATTCTTAAAATATTTTAGAAAAAGTGAATGAATAAATTTTAATAAAGTACTATTTATTTGGCTTCTCTCTAATTAATTAATTATTAAATTAAACATTTTTAAAATTTTATCATAAATTTAAATTACAACATAAAATTAATAAATTCATAACATATTTTTTATCTTACATTTATAGATAACATAAAATATAAAATAATATCAAACATATACTGTTATTTCTTTTGAGTTCTTCAAACTATTTTTCAATTAATCATAGATTACTTTCTATTCTCTGTAAGATAAATTATTTTCCCTAATAATAAATAAATATTCATTAATTATTAGAAAAGAAGAATAAAAGAAAATAAAAATAACAAGAGTTAAATTATTTTTAAAATAAATAAAATTTATTGATTAAATAAGTATATTAATTGCTTAATAAATAAAATACATAAGTTTTATAGTTAAATTAGTGATATTCTAACACTTTTCTAAAGCTGAAGCTATTATTTTAGCTAAATCAAGATTAACATTAGACTCACTATTAAATTAAATAATTAAAATTAAAATAAATTTTTTTGAGAAT